TGAAATATTATGAAAAATATTGATTTATTTTATAGGAAACGTAACCGGTTATTCGGTGTTGTCGATCCTATCGTGCGGGTAAAAACCGATTACAAAGAATCAATGATCATTTTTATAAGTATTATAATAACTAGTGTATTTATTTTTAGGTAATAAAATCGGTTAATCGGTTTTTTTGATTTCTTTGTACCAATAGAAACCGGGTTTTATGAACCTTATCATGCGGATAAAAACCGGTTACAAAGAACCAAAGTTTATTATATAGTCTTTTGAATGTATTTATTTAATTTATATTTAAATTTTGATACGAATCGAAACCGGTTATGCGGTTTTTCTAATCCTATCTGCAATTTGACCGGTTAAAAGCGATTACAATGTAACAAATTACACAATATTGGAATAAGAAGACAATATTACAGCATTTGGAATTATTGTAACCGGTTATTATATCATATCGTGCGGATATAAACCGGTTACAGAGAACAAACATTGATTTTATAGACATGTTTAATATCTCAATTCAATTTATTTCATAAACAAGAACCTAGCCCAAAGGCCATGAGCGATTCCAAAAACTTCTATACATGGAGAATTCCAAAAGCTTAAAATTAACAGTATATCACTTAATTATATCATAAACAACAATACATGAACTACATGAACTATTACAATTATATTCACATTTTTGGTACGAATTAAAACCGGTTATTTCAATCGTAACTGATGTGTGACCGGGTAAAAACTATTATAATGACAAAAATTGAATAATATTCGAATAAGAAAACAATATTACAGTATTTGAATAATTTTTAGAGTTATTGTAACCGGCTATTATACTATATTGTGCGGATATAAACCTGTTACGCAGAACAAATATTGATTTTGCAGACATTTTTAATATCTATTACATTTATATTCACATTTTTGTTACGAATCGAAACCGGTTATGCGGTTTTGTCAATCCTATTTTTCGGGTAAAACCCGGATAAAATCAACTAAACTATACAGGTTACAGTAAAGTAAATTGTATGCAATTTATATAAAATAAATTTATAAAAACTCACCAAAATAGTCGCTCATTTGGAATGAACCAACTTCTTCTTAATTTGTATCCGGTTATAACGAATTAAACTGAATTACATTTATCACATCAATCAACACCATAACAATGCATGAGTGCATTTATTTTGAAAATTTAGGAAAATAATGTCAGTCACCCTATTTATTTGCAAAGGGGGTACAATTTTATTTTTGTTTTGAATTCCCCCTTACGTAAAATAATGAGATTTACTTTAATAATTTGCAAATTCACTTGACACTACTTTAAAATATATTGCACTAACAACAAATTAATGGAATTCATGTGTATCGTAATGGATTGTTTGCAAAGATGAGTTAGCGAGTGCAAGCGTTAATCACTGGACAATTAAAATTGTTCTATGTAGTTGAAAATATACGAACAAGGTTCTTAATAAAATTTCAATGAGGTTTTAGAAAATTTCTTAAAGTTTTTTAAATGTCGTACACTGATATTTGTCTCCTTCTTCTTCTTCTTCTTCTTCAAAAAAAAAAAAAAAAAAAAAATTCTTAAAAATTCGTTGACAAAAATGCTGACAGATTTTCAATATTTTATTTAATGCACAAAAAATGAATTTTAAATGGTTCTGTATTTTCTTTGTTGTGAAAATATCTCTTCAAGAATTGTAAATATTTGTACGAAATTTTATTTTTGTTTGTTTTTTATTTTTCTGCTTTTTCAGACTTTCTTTGTTGAAACGATCGTTTGTTTTTTTCTTCTTCTGGCCAACATTGTTAATGAATCGCTGACGTTGAGGGTCTGTCTTAATTTTTTTGTCGTAATGCAGTTTCACCAAATTGATGGTTTGTTTGGCTGGCATCGACCTATGATCGATGACAACAAAAATCGTTTTAGTTTTGCAAAGAGGGGCTAAAGAAGTTCGATTTATTTGTTTGCACACATTTTGAGACCTATGGACCTACAACATATACTGAAAGGATGCCTTGATATTTAAATTATTGTATAATCTCGTTTCCTCGATGTCCGTATGGGCTATCGGACTTTCGTTACACCCTTTTGTACATTATTTGCTACGTTTCTCTCTGTTGTTTTTTGTCATAATTTTTTGCTATATTAGTTCAAAAGTTTTATGTTTGGTTTGACTGACTGACTGTTTGAATACCACTCACACACGTTATAAGCCAATGAACTTGCAGAAGAGCTAAACAAAAAAATCTTTCACCTAGCCAACAGCCAGAGTAACTGCAAATTAATAGCTGTGCTACGGTAACGACCTCTTTTGGTAGCACCACCAACATCGCTCGATGCGGAAAACATACATACAAAATGTTTTGTTAACCGAGGTCCAAATCAAGGTTACATCATGTAAGAAAATCTGCAAATGGTGTCAAGATTACAAAAAAAAAAAACAAAAAAAAAAAACAATTAAATTTCCGTGTCAGATTATTTTTCTGGTCCTCAGAAGGCGTGGATTTTTAACGATTATTTTCTCTAGGCCCACAGAAGGCGTGGATTTTTTAACGATTATTTTTTCTAGGCCTCAGAAGACGTAATTTTTTAAAGATTATTTTTCCTAGGCCTCAGAAGGGGTGATTTTTTCAATTATTTGGCATTCTAGGAGCTTGGAGGGTGGATAAAAACATATTTGCAGGTCAATATTTTGACATAATACCTATTTAGAAGTTAGGTCAATATTTTGACATAATACCTATTTAGAAGTTCCGACCCATTTCCTATAGTTTTAAATTTGTTAACGTATTTTTTCCATCTAAGTGGAACTACTTTTTCATGTAAGGTTCATTGAAGTTTGAAAATCTACCTTTGTGAAAAGATTCGACATAAGTCCTTGTACAAATAAAAGTTCCGACCTATTTTCGATATTTTGAAGGTTTTAGCATAATTTTTCCCCTTTGAAGTGGCATGTACAAATAAAAGTTCCGACCTATTTTCGATATTTTGAAGGTTTCAGCTTAATTTTTCCCCTTTGAAGTGGCTGTACTATGGCCTTACAGGTTCTTGAAGGGTGAAACCCATCTTTGCAGAAAATGTTCAAAAGTTTCACCCAAATAAAGGTTCCGCCCCACTTTCCGATATTTTAAAGGTTTTAGCAGCATTTTTTCCAATCGAAGTGGCTCTAATTTGGCCTTCCTTTGTCTAATTTGGCCTTCGATTGTCGATGTTTTGGCATAGCACCCATACATAGGTTCCGCTCCCTTTTTCGATATTTTGATGGTTTTAGTTCCTTCTTTCTTATCGAAGTGGCTCTAATTTGTCATTCTGGGTTATTTGCAGGATGTAAAAAAATTTGCAGAACAAATTCAATTTAGAAAAATGGTTCGAACAAATATTCCGCTCTCTATTTACGGTATTTTTTAGGTCTTACTCTCATTTGCCTTATCGAAGTGGCTCTAATTTATCATTCTAGTTCTTGCTGGATGTAAAAAATGTTTGCAGAACAAATTCAAGATAGAAAAATGGGTCGAACAATGGTTCCGCCCTCTATTTATTTATTTATTCCATTCAATAATACATAAGCCTCCAAGGCCAAAAATACGGTATTTTGAAGGTTTTTCTCTCATTTTCCTTATCGAAGTGGCTCTAATTTGTCATTCTATCTTCTTGCAGGATGTAAACGATTGTTGCAGAACAAATTCAATATAGAAAAAAAAAAATGGTTCGAACAAAGGTTCCGCCCCCATTTACTCTATTTTGAAGGTTTTAGCCGCATTTATCACTTCGATGAGGATCGAATTTGCCATTACAGGTTCTTGCAGGATGTAAAAATCTTTACAGACCAATTTTAATATAGATCAATGGTTCATATACTAATACTGAGCTATACAGAGCTTATTTTTGGCTCATTTTGTATTAGATCCCCATTAAATTAGATCAACACGCTTAAAAAATAAACAGTTACTAAACTTCAGGAGACCATAATGCTGAACTTGGTTAATTGTGACAAATTAAAAAAAAAAAAACATTAATTTCATAATTTTTCCATTCCATTAGCACGAAGCGAACGAACGACGAAATTAATGTTCTGTCGCCAAATTTTGTTCCCATAAAAAAAGATTCAAAATATTTTATAGCTTAGCTTTAAATTCCAATCAAAGTGACTACGGCTGCATTTCAAAAACAGTTTTCAACGCCAAAAGATAATTTTCGGTCGCCTAGTTCATTTGTAAATATTTAATTTAAAAAGTCAATACTACTCGATTCACGTGATTAAATATTGAAATTGCAATTTCCATTTTTTCAAGTAGATTTTTAAATATTTTGATATTTACTTATTTTTGCTCAGGTCTAAATAATTCTCAAAAGCCCCCAAGCTGTTGTGTTTAAATATTTTTTTCTTCTCTACTACCTTTTTGTCTTGATCTTCTTGAAAAAAACCAAGCAAATATTCACATTGGGTCAATATTGATATTTCAATACAAAAAAACTCTGAAAGCCTCTAAAATGCAAACTTTTCTTATTCATGCCCACACACACACAGACACATATATGTGAATGACTGGCTAAAACACAAAATGGAAACAATATTCAACACCTTTTGTTGAAAATTACAAAAAGAATTCGAATGGAAGTGAATTTTGAATTTAAAAATTCATAGATTTTGTTGTTGAGAGGGGTCTCACAAAATAAAAGTGAAATCGCCTAACCATGTAAATATGTGATGTTGTTTTTTTCTTTCTTGGTAGATTTATGATCTTGACCTTAGCTATCTTACATCTCTCAAGATGAGCATGAACAGAACAAAAAATAGGACCATTAGTCATAAATTTAAAAAGGGCGGATATGGGTTGTGGCAGTAATTTAGAGACTATTTTTTTCTTAAATTAAATATTTTCTTTATTGGTACATTTTTAATAATTTTTTTTTAATTTCATTTTCAGCTCAATAAAATCCACCTCAACTACCTCAATTTATTGTCAGAGAGCCAAGCAGCAGCAGTACCAAAATGTTTTTAATATTATTTACCCTACTTTTCGTTCTGCTGGGCTGTGCCTTTTGGTTCACCAAGACCACCAAAGAAATGCCCAAAACTTGGTATGAATGGAAAACGGAATTTCGCTATCAATACATTGGCATGACCAGTTTATTTGATGATTTCAAATGTAGATCCGTTGACAGAATTGGTCAGTATTGGAAATTAATTTTTTTTTTTTTTTCATTTAAAGAGATTTTTTATTTAAATTGTTCTTTATATGTTTCAGAATTATATAAACAACCCAATCGCATTGCTGTTATTACCGGTGGCAATCGTGGCATTGGCCTGAGAATTGTGGAGAAATTATTGGCCTGTGATATGACTGTTGTTGTGGGTAGGTAGAAAGAAATGAGACACAATTTTTCAAATCTTTTACTAAATAGTTTCCCTTTAGTAAAATCGAGAGACAGACAAATCGAAAAATGAATCGTATACACTCGACTCGCGTATATCGACAAGCAAGCAACCCTCGCTATAACCGACATGTCGTTATATATACTTGAGGGGTCATTGACAAATATTTAGATACAAACATACAAATTTGTCAGTCCGTTTGTAACGCCTCGAAATATTCGTCAGAGACCCCATTAAGTAGATTATTGATCAGCAGTTCTACACAATGGGCTGAGGTTTAAGTCATTGTCCACGTTAGACTTAGGTCGAAGACCCCACTGTCTGCACTTTTTTTGAAACCACGATTGATCGCGTAATATTAAATGTAGAGCTTAACAATTTTTTATATACATTGCTACTACCTCCTATGATGTTTGGTATTGAAAATGGGATATATTGGTCCACATTTTGGTATGGGCCTCATATAACGGTATCCTCAAATTTTCGGTATTTTGAGGATTTCTCACACTGGTTTTTTAATCGAATTACATACGTTGAGTTCCCATTGGATAAAAAAACTCACTACCAAAAATTATCAATATCGGACCAAATTTAAGTATATCCCCCATATAACTTACCCTCAAATTTTCGGTATTTCGAAGATTACAGATAAGTCTTTTAACTCAATTGGCTTTAGTTTGAGGCTTTATGTTCCCATTGCTTACAAAATATTCCCACCCAAAATTATTAAAATCGATCCAGATTTTGGTACAGTCCCCCTTATTACGAGCCCCTCGATTTTCAATATTTTGGGCTGGTTTTTCAACCGAATTGTCTATAATTTGATATTTTGGTTTCTCATTGGGTAGCAATACTTTCTACCAAAAATCATCAACATCGGTCCAAATTTAGGTATAGCCACAATATATCGAACCCCCCGATTTATGGATTTTTGAGCATTTTAGCCACGTTTTTTAATCAAATTGTATCTAATTTAATATTTTGTGACAAAACTTCATACCAAAAATTATCAACTTCGGTCCACATTTGAATAAAGCCACCATATAAAAGTACCCCAGAATTTTCGGTTTTTGAGGATTTCTGACACTTTATTTCTACAAAATTGGATCTAATTTGATATTTGGAGATCTCATTATATGAAAAACTTCATACCATAAATTATCAAAATCGGTTCACATTTAGGTAAAGCCCCCTTATTACGAACCTCCCGATTTTCGGTTTTTCGGAGCATTTTAGCCACGTTTTTTTTTATCGAATTGCATCTAATTTTATAATTTGTGCTCTGATTGGGTGGTAAAACATTCTACCAAAAATTATCAATATCGGTCCACATTGGAATATAGCCACCATATAAAAGTAACCCCGATTTTTTGGGTTTTTGAGGATTTCCGACACTTCTTCAACCAAATTGGATATGGCAAAACTTCATAGCAAAAATTATCAATATCGTCTCATGTTTGGGTATAAGCCCCATATAACGACGGTACCCTAGAATTTTCGGGTTTTTTTTTTTTGGGCATTTTAACCACGTTTTTCAATCGAATTTGCTCTAATTTTATATTTTGGTTTGGTTGCCATTGGACGATAAAACTTTCTACCAACAATTATCAATATCGGATCTTATATATATATATATATTATATATGGTATAGGTAGGCTCTATATAACGAACCCAAACATTTTCGGGTTTTTGAGGATTTCAGCCACGTTTTTCAACCGAATTAATTCTGATTTGATATTTTTGGTTCTCATTGGGACGTAAATAACCCTACCAATAATTATGTAGGTCAATGTTTTGACATAGACTCAATATAAGGATCCCGAACGATTTTTAATATTTCGAACGCTCACCTCAATGTGGAGGCTGTAAAAGAGAAATAACCGTACAATCCTCACTTTGAAAGTGTCTTAAAAAATATATCACAATTTGAAGATGACAATAAAAATATTTTTTTTTTAATCTAGGTCTTGTAGGTGGCACAAGAACATATTTTTTTAAACAATCTACACCTCGAAGAAAAAATCCAAGCCTTAAGAGTAACTCAAAAAAATATTTTTTTTTTTCTAAAATCCACGCTTAAATGGTAACTCAAAAAAATGTATATATTTTTTTAAATCTAAAAATCCATACCTTTAGAGATCTTCAAAAGAAAAATATTATTGTATACCATATTTATATTATAATTAAAAAAATAACGTGTCATATTACTTACCGTCCCCTTCCATCATTTCTTTATTTTGACCCCTTTCCAATTGTCTTCGTTTAGGTGTTTGCCTCCAATTATGACACACATAACATTATGTTCAAAATACAATCTATATTTGAATATGTCAGTTTAACATTATTCGATGTGATTTGAATACAAAATTTGCGATCCATATCAAATTCACATGCCAACACATGCAATTTTCATTTTACGCCTAAAAGTATGCTTTAATTTTTTGCGTGTATTATTTCTTTACAGGTGTACGCAATCCCAAATCTGCTGAAGAGGCCATCAGTAAAATTGTTGATTTAAAATCGACCAATGGTAAACTTTTGTGTGAAGAACTGGATGTGGGCAGCCTGAAGTCGGTTCGTGCCTTTGCCCAAAAACTCAAAAGCAAATATGAGAAAATTGATATTCTTATTAATAATGGTAAGTAGAAAAATATTTCAATTATTATTGGATTTTTTGATTAATTAATATCAATTTTGTCTTTACATTTTAGCTGGCATTATGTTTGCTCCCTATAAAATTACCGATGATGGTTATGAATCCCATTTTGTGGTGAATTATTTGGGGCACTTTTTATTGCAACATTTGTTGATGCCTTTGCTCAAGGCTGCCGGTACTGAGGAGAAACGTGCTCGTATTGTAAATGTGTCGTCGTGTGCTCATTTGGTAGGACGCATTAACTATAAGGATATTAATGGAGAGTAAGTGGGATTTTACACATGTTTTTTAATTTTTTGAAGACATTATTTAAATGTTTATTTTTTATCATTTAGGAAATACTACTCCCCCGGTGATGCCTATAGTCAATCGAAATTAAGTCAAATCCTATCGACACGTCATTTACAAAAGGTTTTGGATGAAGAAAATGCCTATGTCCAAGTGTTGGCTGTACATCCTGGTGTTGTTGATACTGAATTGTTTGAACACTCCGCTACCACTGCTGTACCATGGTTCAATAAGCTGTTGTTTAAAACTCCTGAACAGGGATCTCGTACTCCCGTCTATGCTGCCATATCACCACGTATCGAGGGCCAAGGTGGCCTCTATTTGAGTAATTGCCGCAAGGGATCCGTACACCCACATGTCTTGAAGGCCGACAAATGTGAACGTTTCTTTAAATTCACTTGTGATTTACTTAAAATTGAACAATTCGGTTTGGGACAATAATGCTCGCATTCCAATGGGGAATTTCTCTCTCGATTTCTAAATGATGCTGCTTTTAATTATTTTTTGTAAAAAATGTGGGAGATCTAAATCTCCTCTTGTCATATCTCTTTTTTCATTTAATTATTTAAAAAAAAACTATCAACGAATAATATATTTTTTATATATCTATTTTTTCATTATGTATTTATGTAATACCTCTACATTCCCTCCCACTTCTCTTCTCCTTCTTTGTATTTAGTAACACACACAATTGTATTGAATATGACGTCCAATTTATTTATATATATTTTTATATACTACTTTTTTAAATGATATAGCTTTCATCATTTTTTCTTTAAGAAGAAAAAACGAAACAAAAGAATAAAAGAAATAGATATTTGTGGAATTAAATTAAAAAAGACTCTTGGAATTCTATTCAGTCATTCGATCGCTGTACTAATTATAAAAGGAAATCAGCAAAATTGGAGGGTCTATTCACATCTAAGGATCATCTATGATGGTTTGTAAAATATATTAAATTTAAAAATTAATTGATATTAAATATTTTATTATAGGTTCATATCCATTCAACATTGGCAAACAATATTCTGCATCTTATCAAATTTTGGAGGCAATAACTAAAACCCTTCCTAACATATTCGGCATTTTAAAACGAAAACATTTGCAGTGGTTTTCTTTACTCCTTTTACAACTCAGTTGCAACAAGATTAACCCAGTATAATTGTGGGTCGTGCTTCTAACACCGCATGTAGGTTCCACTAAACCAATTCATAAACAAAATTTGCATAGAAATTTGTTAAGCTATGCTGTTTACGTTTGGATAAGTTTTATTGGAGCGAACAAGCAAACACAGCTAAGCAGAGACGGTGGCTAATGTACGATTACAATGGGGACAAAAACAAGGGAGAAAACAAAGCAATATTTCAAAGCCCAGTGGAACCTTCCAAAAACAATTTTTTTTAAATTCCCGCCTTATGATAAACTTCGAAAAATATTTCTTAAAAAAATCTAATCCTTGATTTTCTTAGCTGGCTTGTTACAGAACGGTTGTTCCATAAGCCGAGATTAAAAAAGATATCCAAGTGGGTTGGACTTGTGCGCATCTCCTCCAATTTGAAAGGCCACGTTCCAAGATGTTGTTTTCTTCTTGGTCTTTCCATCTAATTCGTGGTCTCCCCCTTCTACGGGAACCATTAGTAGGCTCGCTTTTATATGCCTTTTGGGCTGGGGCATCTTCCTTCTTCGAATTTCAAAACTGATGTCATTCGTTTTATTTATGGCGGTACCAAGGTATATAAAATCTTTAACTACCTCGAAGCTGTAGTTCTCAAGTTCCACAGTTGGTCCGAGTCTACTGGACGTCTTGCGCGTTGAAACCATCAGCATGGTCTTCTCGCCGTTTACTGTTAGACCCACATTGGCAGACTCCTTCTCAATTTGTTCATAGGTGGCTGTTACCGCTCGCAATGTTCGACCCATTATATCGATCGACATGTGTTGTTTGGTGTACAGAGTTCTCAAGTTCCACAGTTGGTACGAGTCTACTGGACGTCTTGCGCGTTGATACCATCAGCTTGGTCTTCTCGCCGTTTACTGTTAGACCCACATTGGCAGACTCCTTCTCAATTTGTTCAAAGGTGGCTGTTACCGCTCGCAATGTTCGACCCATTATATCGATCGACATGTGTTGTTTGGTGTACAGAGTGCCATTTCTGTTCACCTTTGCTTCTCGTATGACCTTTTCCAGCAGGATGTTAAAAAGATCACACGACAAACTGTCACTTTGTCTGAATCCTCGTTCGGTATTGAAGGGTACTTTCCGACTTTAACTGCTGACCTTGTGCCAGTTAAAGTGATCCTGCATAGCCGTATTAATTTTGAAGTAATGCCGAACGTAGACATGGCTTTAAACACTTCTGAACGGATAGTACTGTCGAATGCGGCTTTATAGTCGACGGATAGGTGGTATGTGACGATGTGTTTTTCGTGGGGGTTTTTCAGGATTTGGCGCCGAGCCGATTAATTGCTTTTACGACCTCAATTTGGCTAGGTGTTATACGTTCTATACCGTCATCTATTATTGGTTTTGGGGTATCCTCTTCACCGCTACTATTTGATACCAAAAGTTTTTCGAAATGCTCCTTCCAGATCCTCAACACGCTGTCTGTATCTGTCACCAGGTTTCCTTCTTCATCTCTACAGGAGGATGTGTCTGCACCAAAACCTTCGGTTTAGTGTTTTACTCGTTGGTAAAATTTCCGGACTTAATTCTAACTCCTGCACATCTCGATTTGCTCACGCTCACGTTTTTATTGTTCTTTCTTCTTTTTTTTCTTCTGAAAAACACGTTTCTCCTCTCTCCTTTTCTCCCGATAATTCTCCATCGCATTACGTGTTGCTACTGTCTGCAAGGTTGCTCTATACGCTGCGTTTTTCACATCAGCAGCATTACGATACTCCTAATCGTACCATGAGTTTCTTGGAGGTGGTTTTTGGTACCGAAGTGTTACATTTGCTGAAGTATGTAGGGAGTGGGCAATTCTGTGCCATTGTGCTTCTGTATTATTATCGGGACAAGAAGTGTTTTCGTCAGGTGGGAAAGTTGAGCGAAGTAGGCCTCGTCTACCTGTTGTGTTTGCAGCTTTTCGAGGTCGAGTTTCCGTGTTGTGTTAGATCGCACCTTTGCTGCAACATTAAGACGCGAACCTTGACTGCTACAAGGTAGTGGTCCGAATCGATATTCGCTCCTCGGATCGATCGAAGGTTTAATACACTGGATGAATGCCTTCCTTCTATCACAACATGGTCAATTTGATTTCTCGTTGCTTGATCAGGAGAAATCCAGGTGGCCTTGTGTATATCGAGATGCTTGAATCTGGTGCTGCTAACTACCATGTTTTTTGCTGGCGCGTAGTCAATCAACCTCATGGCCTTGTCGGGTGTTTCTTCATGAAGGCTCATCGCATTTCCATATGATAACCTCAAAAAATATTTTTTTCCAAACTTTGACCTTGACTACAAAATATTTTGTTTATTTCATAATATGCGAAATTTAATTTGGGGTAACCCTGCACCCAGCCCTCCACTGTTGTAGATTCAGTTGTGTTTTTGTTGACAATAAACCGCATTTGTTCTAAAGAGAATTGAATACCAAACTGCATATTTATTTACCTCGAAGAAGACACCTTTGTTCTGCCAATTTCAATGTTTTATAAAGTCTAAAATAAAATCAAAATCTAACAGTTCTAATCCGACAGTATTAGTTCCAAAGTACCCTTCGACAAAAAATGTGGCTCTCCCTCCTATTCGGAATAACAATAATTTTTGCTTTAATAAAATATCTACAAAAATTACACTATTGGCGAAAATACAATGTGGAGACCTTCAGTTTCTTACGACTGATTTATAACTTCCTGAGACGGCAAATGGGTCTGGTATTGGGTGATATTTATGAAGATCTCCGGCAAAAACAAAAACCCTTCAAGGTTGTGTTGTCCCCCTTTTTGACGGTATTGGTGCTGCAGGATATCGACCTTATAAAGGATGTGATGATAAAGGAATTTGAAAAATTCCCCGAACGCGGTTTCTATACAAATTATCGCGACCCATTGAGTACAAATCTGGTGCGCTTGGAATATAAATGGTGGAAGCCAATAAGGCAAAAATTAACCCCGGTATTTTCTCCAGCAAAAATGCAGGCAATTTTTCCTACCCTCCACACGGTGTGTGAGCTATTGGCCTCAAAACTGAAAACCATGATGGAAGAAGAAATAAATTCCGAAGTTCCCATTTATGACCTCTGTGCCCGCTTCACCACCGATGTCATTGGCAATGTGGCCTTTGGCATTGAATTCAATAGCCTCAAGGATTCCAATTCGCAGGCCCGCCGACAAGGCATACGACTTTTCGATTATGCCTGGCATCCGATTTTGGACAGTCTGGCGGGTCATTATTGTGCAGTAGGCAATTTTTTCAACATTAAACTATTCAAACCCGAATTGAGTGGATTTTTTATAAATCTCGTGAGGGATATTATTGATCACCGTGAGAAGAATGGTATAAGGCAAGCGGATCTAATGGATACCCTGATTGAATTGAAGAAAGAGGATCAAAAATCGAAGGGAGACGAATTTTCGTTATCCTTGGAATTAATTGTGGGTCAAGTGTTTGGATTTTTTGGTGCCGGATTTGAGACATCTTCGAATACTTTGACCTATGCCCTATATGAATTGGCCAAAAATCCGGAGATACAGGAAAAGGCAAGGCAGAGTGTAAAGGAGGTGTTGAGAAGTCATGGTAATACCTTTACTTATGATAATATTAGAGAAATGCAGTATTTAAAACAAGTTTTGAAAGGTAAGTGAAAATTATTTAAAAAAAAAGTTTTTGAAAAAAAATTTTTTGAAATTAACAAAAGGCATGGATTTAGAAAAAAAATTTTGAAGTGGATTTTTGAAAAAAAAAAATTTTTTTTTGAAGTGGGTTTTCGAAAAGAAGTGTATTTTTTGAAAAAAATATTTTTTGAAGTAAATTTTTTGAAAAAAAAAATATTTTTTGAAGTGGATTTTTGAAAAAAAAATAATATTTTTTGAAGTGGATTTTGGAAAAAAATATTTTTTGAAGTGGATTTTTGAAAAAAAAATTTTTGACGTGGGTTTTTTAAAAATAAATATTTTTGAAGTGGATTTTTGAAAATAACGCATGGCGTGTATTTTTTAAAAATTATTTTTTCAACATTCCACAATGCGTGGATTTGATTAATTTTTTATATTTAATTGAAATCGAAATATTTCCTTTTCTTCCAGAAACCCTTCGCCTCCATCCTCCAGCCCCCTACACTGTGCGAGTTTGCCGTCGTCCATGCGTTTTGAAAACCAAATATGGTGCGCTGACAATTCCAAGTGATACCAAGGTGATGATACCCATTTATGGTATACATCATAATCCTGACTACTATCCGGAACCATATCGTTTTCTACCAGAACGTTTTGATGAAATTTCAGATTGCCCGCCCGCATTATTTATACCCTTTGGTTTGGGTCCCCGAACATGTATTGGTAAACGATTGGCCAATATGATGTTGACCCTTTCGTTGGCTATGCTTTTGACACGTTTCCGCTTTTCTTGCTGTGCGCAAACGCCACGAAGTTTAGATTTCGAGTCGAGAAAAATGTTGGTCCTATCGAGCAAGGAAAATATTGTTGTGAAAGTTGAAGCTTTGTAAAGAAATAAAAAAATTTAAAAATATATATTTTATAGGTTATGATAAGGCCTAAAATAAAAACAAATTGAGGTTAGGTCAAGGCGTGAAATGTTAGAAAATATTTTTGGAGGCTATGCCAAAGTGTGGATTGAAAAAAAATTTGAGCTTATGTCAAAGTGTGGATTAAAAAAAAATAAGGAGTGGGTTTTTTTAAACAATATTTTTAGGTTCTGTCAATGCGTGGATTTAAAAAAATATTGAGGTTATGTCAAAGGGCGGGTTAAAAAACAATATTTTGTAAGTTTATATTAACGCGTGGATTTCATAAAAAATATTTTTTGAAGTTATGTCAAGGCGTGGATTTCATAAAAAAATATTTTTTGAGGCTATGTCAAGGCGTGGATTACATAAAATATATTTTTTGAGGTTATGTCAAGGCGTGGATTTCATAAAAAAATATTTTTTGAGGTTATGTCAAGGCGTGGATTTCATAAAAAAATATTTTTTGAGGTTATGTCAAGGCGTGGATTTCATAAAAAAATATTTTTTGAGGTTATGTCAAGGTGTGGATTTCATGAAAAAATATTTTTTGAGGCTATGTTAAGGCGTGGATTTCATAAAAAATATTTTTTGTGGTTATGTCAAGGCGTGGATTTCATAAAAAATATTTTTGAGGTTATGTCAAGGCATGGATTTCATAAAAAAATATTTTTTGAGGTTATGTCAAGGCATGGATTTCATAAAAAATATTTTTTGAGGTTATGATAAGGCGAAGATGCTTTAAAAAATATTTTTTGAAATTATGAAAAATCAAAGATGTTTAAACAAATGTATATATTTTTTTAAACATTACCACGCCCCTGCTTAAATCCATAAAAAAACGAGTAGCCAGCCAACTTATCTTCGATTTACATCCAACTCAAACTCCACCTACGCCTTAAGACTCATCCGCACACACATTGTAGCTGCTTGATTTTCCATCTGGAAAATGTATGGAAATTTTGAAACGATGTCTTAATCCACAAAAAAAATTACACCTTTCAGGTTGGTTGTTACAGCCTGATTTACATACCAGTCAGCCAGCCAACCAGCCAGAGTCCAGAGCAGGTTGAGTACAAATGGAGAATAACTGGAGCTAATTAAATTCGCATTTGTTAAACATTGTTGTTGCAACTTTTTAATATGGGGTTGTGCAGATTTACAGCAAAGGTGTTGAAAATCAAGGAATGATTGATGGTTACCTTTGGTGGCAATGCAATAGGGAACAACAGCAACAAATTACAACAGGTTCGGAAATGAAATATAGGATGGGAAAAAATTTGATAATGGATGTGTGCAAGTTGCAACATGCATAGATATCATAGGAGACAATGTGGTAAGTCAAGGTTAAGGTTGTGAATATGTTTTAGAAATTTCCTCAAGTGTGGATATAAAAAAAAATATGTGTGAGGTTATGGTCCATTAGCTTATCATCTTTTCTCCTCAAGACTCTCGAAAAACTGATCGACCTGGAGATTAGAACTCGCATAGACACCACCTCTCTTAGCAACTCGAAACACGCATACATAAAGCGTAAAGGCTGGCCGCCTTCCCTATAGAGGGAGCCTTTAACAACGTCAAACTTGAATCCATAAACCACTCACTTAAAGAAGTTGGCATTCCTGATACCCTTACGCATTGATAGATAAAATGCTAAACATCAGAATTATAAATTCAAGTGTGGGGGTTACAAAAATCAGGAAAATGGTAACTAGAGTAGAGGTGTGCAACTAAAAAATTCTCAGAGAACGAATGAGAAACCACCATATGAAATGACTTATAGAATTCAACTTTTTTGTACATGGGATACAAAAATCAGGAAAACGGCTAAACTAGAGGCACACCTCAGGGAGGGGTGTTCTCGCCATTACTAAGGCTATTGGTAATTAATAATATACTGAGGGAACTGGACGGGAAAGGTATCAAAGTAGTAGTTTATGCGGACGACGTGGTGATATTGATTTCCGGAAAATTTTCGTCAACAATCTCGGAGCTTATGCAAAGAGCCTTACTGACGCTGTCGCGCTGGGCCAGGGCAAATGGCCTTGGTGTAAATCCAACAAAGATGGAACTAGTAATGTTCACTAGGAAGCGTAAGCTCGGCGTTTTTGCTCCATTAACACTGGATGGAGTGCAAATTCATCGATCTTCCGAAGCAAAGTACCTCGGCACAATCCTGGACTGTTAACTACGATGGAATAGAAATGTTGAGGAACGGGCGAAGAGAGGGATGATTGCACATGCAAGAACTCCATTGGGAACAGCTGGGGGCTAAAAACATCGACTACACACTGGTTGGTTCTCTTGTGTGGTGGAACTATCTGCGCCACAAGTCGACATCCAGTAAATTAGATAAGGTACAAAGAGCCGCCTCGATTTTAGTTACAGGAACCAGGAGGATTACACCACAAGCAGCTTTGAACGCATTGCTGAACTTTAAGCCTCTGGGCATCAGCATTAAGTGTCAGGCTGCGAGCAGCGCCCTAAGGCTGCATGAACAAAACCTCTGGCGAAATTGTACCTTTGGGCATGGTAGTATTTTAAATGAGTCAGGTATGACATTGGACCGTAAAACTAAGCGACTATATATCACCAGTCCTGAGATTTGACGATGTAGATGTCGTTATTCCTAGTAGAGACGACTGGAACCGAAGTAACCCTCCCTGGACGGTCTGGCCTTCTATACAGACGGATCCAAGATGGAAGAAGGTAGAGGGGCGGACGTCTACTGTGAAAGGCTAGGCCTTGAGTTAACCTACAAGCTGAATTGCAACTGTAGGGTCTTCCAAGCTGAAATCTTCGCGATTTGGAAGGCAGCGGAGTAGATAAATAGTCTGGATGCAGAAGTCTTTGAACTGGTGATTATCTTTGTGAATAGTCAAGCGGCTCTTAAAGCCATCAAATCTTGTTACATCAAATCTGAGGCCGTCCTCAAGTGTAGAGCAGCTTTGGAAGGACTTTACAGGACTTACAGCTATCGGTTGTGTTGGATACCAGGACATTGTGACATCTTGGGTAATGAAAGAGCGGACGAACTAGCTAGACGAGGATCTCAATCCACAGATCTTGCAACTGATGATTTAACCAAACCATCCTTATGTCATTTTTACCGGAACTTTGAGGCATTATTCGACGAAAGAGCCTATGAAATCTGGCACAACGAACCTAGGTGCAACGTGTCAAGATCCATTTGGCCGACTCTGTCTACCAAAAGAACGCACTCACTGTTTAAACTGAGCAAAGCTGAAATAAGAGCAATGATAGGAATCATTACTGGTCACTGCAATATCAGGACTTTTACTAGTAAATGGGATATTGATGCAATTGATTACTGTAGACTCTGCGTTGACGAGGAGGAGGAGACGGAGACAATTGTGTATCTCCGGTTTCACTGCCCAGCCCTGGCTTACAGGCGGCACAGACTAGTGGGTGATCATTTTCTACCGGCTCTTAGCTTCTTCTCATCATCAACCGAAACTTCTCTAATCTACAGCATAATTAAAAACCTAAAGTGGTTGGGAAAGAGCAACCTTGACACGTAACACATCTTCTGTCTGATTCCTATAGCCATCGACCTTATTCCAATCTTACTTTTTTATATCTTTCTGTAAACTTCTCATCTCCCTTTATTTCCCCAATCTTCTCTCCCCTATAGATCTCTTCTTATCTCTTTTCTTCTCATGGATGATCACAACGGACCTAACGGTCTCAGAGCGCTGCAGACACATAATCGACTGCACATCCTCAAACCTAACCTATGGTGAGGCTTGGATTTTTAAAAAATATTTTTTGAGGTTATCATAAGGCGTGGATTTAAAAAAAAAAACTCTTCAAACCCTTAGTCATCACTTGATCTCTTCTATCTTCTTACGTGAGATAACTCATCTCGATTTTGAAATATTTCCCCCATGTGTTCGATTTTTTTTCTTCTCTAAACTATTTAAAAAAACAAATAAGAAAAAAATTAGTTAAAATCAATTGATTGCTATTGCGTGTGACTGAAACCTAATTGGTTTTGAGCAGCATCGCAATTTTATTACTCTAACGTGAAATACCAATCACAATCCAATCGGCAAAAAAAAAAAAAAATGTGAAACCAGATTATCGTTGTTCGCATCATCTGCAACGTCTCCACATTTATTGTGGGTCAATTGTTTTAAGCGCCCCCTTTTTAAAAACTTGTATAATTTTTTTCAGTTATCAAAGACAGTTGTTTTGTGTAGTAGAGTGAGAGCATTTTGACAAGCGGTTTTTTGAAGAAGCACAGTGGTTTGAAAAAAAAAAATTAAAGAATAATAAAAAAACATTTAAAAAAATTACGACTTAAGTAGAACATTTTGTAACAAATCCACGCCTTAAAAATTCTCAAAAAAATTTTTTTTTTAAAAAATCCACTCCTTATTTCAAACTCAATAAACTCTCCAAAAAATAATTCTTAAAAAATCCAAGCCTTATGAACTTTCCAAAAAAATATATATTTTTTTTTTAAATCTACGCCTTAAAAACTTTCCATGAAATATTTTTAAAAAAATCCATAAAATATTTTTACCACGCAGAAATTGTGTTAATACCTACGAATACTGGAATGCAGGCTTTGCGCCTTCAAACCCCAGACATGATAGCCATCATGATCATCTACATCTGAAAACATTGAGATGATGATTGCATTATGACTAAAATCCCAAAATGTTTTGTCAATGATGCACGTACACATGCCAGCTGATGATGAAGTTCGCATTCTCTTAAGGCTCAATGAACTAAATGTTCGACAACAAAGTTTTTTTTTTGTGGGAGCAATGCCCTGCTAAAATTTTAATATTTTTTTTTTCTGTTGCGGATTTTTTGTGTGTCGTTCTGTGGACTTAATTTTTGAAGTGCATGATTTTGAGGTTCGATTTATGCCGACTCACTGAGTAAATGTTTTACTGTCGACTCGTAGCCGAAATGCATTTGAAAACGTCATTAATGTGGGAATATTTACA